ATTTCCCCCTTCCGGTGCATTCAGTCACAGACTGGGACCAAAGCCTTTTATTCTTTTAAGCAATATAAATGGGGGCAGCTGAAGGGAGAAATCAGGCCTGACCTTATGCTGTCCAGCTCCTTCTGAATTCCAGCAATACTGTGGCCTACAATTTATTGGTGGTGGTTTTCCATTTCCAGATGGTGACCTCTGGACTTTGTAGGTTAGGGTGGTTTTGTTTAAGCTTTTGAACTTGGCATTGCGGCTGAGAACATGCTTGCTTCCTGGTCCCCTGCCCTCATCCTAATCCACCAAATTTCTCTAGTGCCCCACTCGCCTGCATGGTTTTGTAGCCACAGCTGCAAAGGAGAAGTAATGAGGGCTCCTGGTGCCTCCCATTCCAAGGGCCGGGCACCTTAGAATGTGGCCCAGAACAGCTGTCACTGGGGAATGAATAGGAGTTAGCGTTAGAGAAGTGGGGGGAAGGGGTGGTGAGCTGGTGGTCTTCTTGTCACCTCTTGGGTTTCCATAGGGAGAAATACAAGCTTTTACCCACTTTTCCATGCTAAGAAAGCATCTCAAGGTAAGATCTTAGAGCCACTGAGGCAATGTTTGGCTCTTGGTTGCCTCTCTTGCCTGCAGATTGCTAAGGCAAATGGAGACCTACATCCTTCCACTCACTAGGCGCCTGCCGTGTGTCAGGAGGGCTGCTAGATGCTTTGCATCTGTTCCACTTTTATCCTCACAACAACAATGTGTTATTAAACTGTGTTATTTTATAATTAGTGATAAAGAAGTGGAGATAAATGTAGTTTAAAAAACATTATCCAGTGAGTTAGTGATGGAGCCAGGAATCACACCAGTTTGAATTTCAATGTCCATACATTCCAGTAATTCAGAAGGAGGCAGAAGGGGTAGGAATGATCAGAACAAACCTGGTAGATAGAGAGGGCAATTGCCTTCGTGATTTGAAGGGTAAAAATAACATCCTTCACTTCCCCAGATAGTCCCCTTGTAGCCCCAAACCCAGCATTACCGAGTCATTCCTTTGAGTTAAGCTAAATTCTATTTTTGAAAGCAAATATTTCTGGGAGGGGAAGTCATTTGGTCATTAAAATGCTCTATTAAAAAAAACACCTCTCATTTTCTTTTAAAACATTTTACTTTAAATTGTGCTCCTTGTAAAGTAATCCTTAACAGAAAGTAGTTTGTATCAGAAGAAATGTCTGGGAGGGGACCTCTTGAAGGAGTTGCGAAGTTTTAATCTTTGACATTTACTCTCATAAGCACATTTTAAGTAATTCCTAGAAACTGATAAAATCTGTTAGAAGAAAAGGATTTCTCTTTCTTTTTTTAAAGTAGTAGAATATTTCACCATTCTGATTGGAAAAAGAGATAGACATGGGTGTTAACTTTCTGAGATATGCCTCCATAACTGTAATCGCTTAGGATTCTGCTTCAAAGAAGAAAAAAGAAGGAATTTGGAAGATAGTTTGAAAGCTTTGAATATGATAAGATGAGATGATATTTGTTTAAAGCACTTGGACAAACCCTAGCATTAAATGAATAGAAGGTATTATTTCTCCTAGAAAGTACCTCCTCAGTGGAGGAAGAGTGAGAGGAATTATGTCCTAAGGCTGTTTTTTAAGAGTTTCTACAGATTTCTATAGGTTGTCAATAAGTGCTACATGAATGCCGAGTTTTCTGGTTAGATGCATTTGGAAAACACTGCATTAGACAGTTAAGCTTTTATGTTTTGTTACAATAGGCATTATCAAAACTTGTAATATGTAATTGTGTGTGGTAATTTTCCCAGAGGGTGGACAGTATACTACAGAGGGATTCCTAAACTTATTTGACCAGTGCAGAACTTTTTTGTGGGGTGGGCATTTCACGAGACCAGTATTGTCTGGAACATTGTTTGAGAAACAGCCTAGAGCTGTATTCAATATGCAATATGATATGGCAGTTCACGTAATCTGAATTTAAATTCTAGCTTCACCACTTAAAAGAGATGCAAGCTTGGGCAAGTTATTTAATGTCTCCATGCCTCAGTTTCTTCTATTTGTAAATGGGAGGAGTAACATTACTCATGCTCAGTCCTAAGGACTAAATGAAGAATATCTGCCATGTAGTTAGTGCTCAATAAATATTAGCTACTGTTGTTATGGCTGCCGACATCACATCTTGTCCTGGTCCCTTATGCATATGCTGAGCTCCAGCAGAAAGGGAAAAAGTCACTGTGCATTTCTGCCTCTTTGTTCTTGTCTTTTTCCTCCACTTAGAATGACTTGTCCACCTTGGTCTTTGCTGGTCTAAACAACAACAAGATATCTCTCAATGCCACTTGCCCCATGAGAGTGTCCTGGATTCTCCCAACTTTCCCTCCCCTAAATCCCTAACATTCCTCTGGAGGTTTCTTAGACTTACAATATTTGGCTTTGTAATTTTGTGTTATTTATTTATTTTCTTGGAAAGATGTCTTATTTATCTTTGATTTCCTGGTACCTGGTAGGGTACCTTCATTGGCTGTATCTCCACTAAAGGTTGGCTGAACTGTTAAATTCAGTTCAAGACATATCCTCGAGCCCTTATCTGTACAGGCACCACCAGACTTCTATAATTAGGCAAGGGTTGGTGAAAACGGCCCTGGGCAAGCTAGTGTAGAGTAGGAGAGGAAACCAGGAAAAGCAAAGAGGATTTGTACGTGCTATGATTGTAGATGTTAGGTTTCTTTTTCTGCAGGAACTTTCCAGTTAAAAATATTCTATCTGATTTTCCCTATCTATGTCCACCATGTATCTGGATTTGTGTTTGGTTATTGTATGGTTAGGGAGAGAAGAAAATCAGAGACAACCACTGCCTGCAATCACAATTCTACTAATACGACTGTGTCTCCATAGCTCTTGCATCGTTCCTTTTCTTTTTTTTAATGTTTTTGTTGATTTCAGAGAGAGGAAGGGAGACGGAGAGAGAGAGACGGAAACATCAGTGGTGAGAGAGCCATTGATCGACTGCCTCCCACTGGGGATCGAGCCCTCAACCCGGGCATGTGCCCCGACTGGAATTGGACTGTGATCTCCTGGATCCTAGGTCGATGCTCAACCTCTGAGCCATGCCAGCTGGGCACATCACTCCTTTTATTCATTCAACAAATATTTTACTGGGAACCTATGTGTGCTGAGCACTGGTCTGAGCTGGGGGCATAAGAATGAGCGAGTCAGACCTGATTTCTTGCCCTCATGAAATTGCAGTCTGATGGGGCTACAGTGAAATAAATAATATATGCAATTGCCAAACCCAGTACATAGTAGGCATTTAAGCAGTGTTTGTTTGCTGATGACTGAATAAAAGAATGAAGACAATTATTGCTCCAGGCCAGTTTGCATCAGGCAGGGCTGCTGTGTTTGGTTGCACAGGCCACATGTCCTGCACAGCTCCAGGGACTCCATTCACAGAGACAAGATTTGAAGCTTGAGCATAGTCTGGGCAAGGTATAGGACTTTTAGAAATCGTGTCTGATACATAAGTTGGTTCTGCTTCCAGATAGAAGAGAGTATTCCTGCCTAATTATTCTGCCTTAGAATAGCACGCACCTCTGAAATGTTTCAGAGCTGCTGTCCCCTCTCAGAGTTCCCATGGCCCTTTGCATGTACTATGTACCACTGTTAGCAATTTTGTCATCTTTAGTATGTATTTCCCCTCACTCTGGGCTTTGTAAGGCCCATACTGGCACATGGGAGGTACTCAGGACCTGATTGCTGGAGGAATGAGAAAATATCCTGTAAGATGTCTCTAAACAGAGGCCCAGAAATTGCCTCCCAACTCCTTCATGTCTGAAATCTGAACCTTATTAGCAAGACCTTTTCCCCAACCCTGACTTGAACTACTTTAGTCTTCTAAACTGAAAATAGAGAAGGGCACAGAATGGCAAGAGGAGCAAACGTTTTTCTTAACCCCACGTGCCATTGTTTCCCTCTTGCCCCTGTATTCCAGGCAGATCAGCAGCCAGGTAGAACTGGCTGACATGCACCCTAATTCCTGATGGGAGCAGGAAGGACTGGTGGGAACCTACACAGCCCACAGGATGTATGTGGGGCCTGCTGTGACCCACAGCTGAACTGCCTAGGTCCAGTCCTAAAACCCATACAGCTGCTCCAAGGCTGGGAGAACTCGTGGGAGGAAAGCACATGTGAAAGACACAACCCCCAGAGCACCAGCGGGGATACTGTCTGAAGGCCTTGGCTGTCTTTCCAACTGGGGAGACCTGTGGAAGGAGGCCCTACAAGTCACTGAGAAGGCAGAGACTGGAATAAAACATGGAGAGAAGACCAGAGTGGGAAGTTACCCCCTTCTCATGCTTCCTGGAGGCAGAGAGAGAGAGAGAGAGAGAGAGAGAGAGAGGAAGAGGTATTTTCATACTATCCAAATATGAAAATAGTCAAGCTATTATGCTGTATTTCTCACATTCCCTCATCCCTCTGATCTGATTCCAGTAGATCTTGGGAGACAGGTAGAGACCACAGAATAGTTGAGGACACTGAGGCCAGAAAGAAGCTATTTGGCTCAAGTCTTAAATTCCAGGAGTCTCATGAATTCCTTTCTAGGAGATGTTATAACCAATAATATGCGGTCTGAAGTGACTGATGATTCTCTGTTCCAACCTCTGTGTTTTTCAGATAATGCATCCGAATGCTGTCATACCTTGTCCCAAGGGATGGAAAACTATTTGGAAGATGGAGTCTTGGGGGTCAAAGCAAAGTGATTGCCTCCCACATCCTTGGTGAAGAGGAGGAGGCTTGTAAGGGCCTCTCAGACTCCATCATGAGATTTTGTTGGATCTCTTACTCCCTATAAGGTTGCCGTCTGTGTTTACTGTTACCCAGGGGCCGCTTGCTGAAATGTTGAGTGATGGAGGAGGAAAGCAGGAGTCAAATACAGTGCCATTTGGTGTGCCCCTCCCACCCAGAGAGTCCTATTATCAGAACCTGTCCTAGTCTGTACCTGGCAGACGTTCTCAGGGAAGGAACAGAAGTGACTTGCTGCATTCCAGCACCATCTTGGGCCCTGGAAGGGAAGGCATGGTGTTCCAAAGGCCAAAAGGACTGGGACACGGTAAGGACTGGAACTTGGCCCATCCTGCAAGGTGTTGCCAAGTGGTGGGCTGAAGGCAGAGGGGTGATGCACATCTGCCTTAATAAATTCTATTGTATCTCAGAGGCTCTGGCTGTCCATAGCACAAAACTGTACCTGTTCAGGTGGTGGCTTTAGCACTGCTACTTTTAGTCCTACCCCCTTCTCTCCAAACCTGACCTTGCTGTTGGTTGAGAGGGTCAGGGGAACAGGAGTGGATGAGTAGAAGAGAAGTGGATGCGGTTTTGAAAAGGGCCAATGGATTTATTAGGTGAACTGTGAAGGTCATCTGGACAAATATCATCAACCTTGTTTTACAGATGGAAACTGAGGACTAGAGAATATGTTGGCCAAGCTCCTCAAGGGTTATAAGAAGAGACACTATATCGAATTTCAGTTCCTGGGGTTAGTTTCAGAGATGCAGAGGAATGTGGGCTGACATGGAGTGTGGTCTCTCCATCAGCATGGCACGTGGGGCCCTGAGGTTCCAGGACAGTGAGGGACAGCACTAGAGCAACCTGTAAACCACATTTAGAGCATACCATGATTTCAGGCTCTTGCCTTCTTTATGTATTTTCCTTGACTTTGTCCATTGGTTAGGGTGTTTCCAACTGCAAGAAACAGGAAGAGTCTCACACTTGTTTAAGTGACAGAGACTTTAAAATCTCACATAGAGAAAGTTGAGAGGTAGGATGGACTCTAGGCAAGATGTGCTCATCTGGATTCATTTCTTTGTGATTTGCTCAGCTTCTTTCCCATCTCAGGGTTGACCTTGTCTCAAGCATCTTCCCTCATGGTTTCAAGATGGCAGCCAGCAGCAGCTGGGCCAATATGTTTTATTCTTTCACACATAGACACATAGGAAAAGCATGGAATAAAAACCTTTCCCCGGCATGAAATGTAAGTTTTTCCCTTCTACCTGATTAGCCAGCTTAAGTCATTTGCCCATTTCTGGACAAATAACACCTATTAAGGGAATGCCAAGTGATGATTGGCTTGAATCTGAGATCTTGAACTAAAGCCTGATCTGGGAGATGAGACTGCCATTATTGGGTCAGTGTATTGAGAATCCACATCTGAAGGCATACAGAATAAGTGAGGGAGGGCAGAGACCTGAACAAGACTGGTCTAGAAAAGAGAGAGGGGTGAAAGATGCTGGATAGATACCCAAGCAAGTCCATTAGAGCTGCTGGTACCCATGGGAAAGACCAATGATCTCAGAGATGGCACAGTATGAAATCTACTCACCCTCCCTCCCTGGCCAGAAAAGTTGTGATGAGGCGGCAGGGTTGGTTTAGCTCGACACTTGAACCATAAGCTATAGCAATTTTTGCAGGAAATGACTGCACGAAGACATTTTCCTTATAAGGGAGCCATAAAACTGACATGCTCCTAAGAGCTTTACAGTGGACCTAGTTCAGAAAGGTTAAGCCCTTTGGTCAAGGTCATGCACTGCTGAGTGTCAGAGCCTATACTAGAAACAGGTCTTGTGACTCATATTACAGTGCTCTTTCCATAACCCTGGTAAGATGTCAGTGGGGTGAAAATGACATCAGCCCTTTGGTGGTAAAGGTATGTGTAAAGAATGCAAATTTTGACCCCAGGCAAGTTCCTTAACTTCTCTAGGCCCCAGTTTACTCACTGCTGTAATAAAGGAATCATTAGAAGATAATGAAAGTACCTTCCAATTCTAAGAATCTATGAATAGCTTTAAATCATGGTTCTCTTCCAAGAACCTGACAACACTTGTTCTATTAGGTCATTTAGCTGCTGATTATTTGTTTAAATAGTTTCCCAGGAGTGACCCAGAACATCCTACATAATAAACCAGTTGTTAAATCATAAACAATATGGACAGAATTCATCATCATTATGCTTCCCAACTGAACATCCCTGGGGCCTCTGGTTACTTGGACACTCTGGTTAGTGGAGTGTTGTCAGGGATTCCCTATGTGGGTGACTACTTTTCCAAGAATTAGAAAACAACAGGCTGTAACAAATGCTAGATCTACACTGGAAAAACTGTGCTTTTTCAAAGGTGAAATAGAACTGTGAAGAATCGAAGAACTTTGTGCTCTTCTTTCGCTTCCCTTCTTATCTTGGTTTTCGTTCCCCACCTCGCACCCTGTTACCATTAAGTTCTCAGCTTGGACCACTAATCTTCACTTAACTCCTTGAGCTTTAGAAGGTTATGTTTCCTGGAGTATTTGTAGGACAGCTTAGGCTTCCATACCCAAAGAAATACAGGAGGCTCTCATATCTGCAGATTTTCTTCTGTGGATTCAGCCGACCATGGATTGAAAATATTCAGAAAAAAATGGTTACCGTGTTGCTGATGAATACTCTGTAGTCAGGCCTGTGATGGTTGCCTCCTGCTGAACATGTACAGACTTTCTTTTCTTATTATTCTCTAGTCTAAACAATATAGTATAACAACTATTTACATAGTATTTACCTTGTGTTAGGCATTAATTAGTAACCTAGAGAGTATTTAAAGTATATGGGAGGGTGCACATAGCTTACATGCAAATACTACTATTTTATATATGGGACTTGAGCACCCACAGATCATGATACCGCAAGGGTCCTGGAACCTATCCCTTGCAAAAACGGAGGGATGACTATATCGCTAATGGTAGCAATTTTGGTCCTGTGATGGTCCAGCATAAGAGATATGGGGATAAAGAATCTAGTCTGTTTGCCAGGAGGGATAAAACCCCAAAGTTTCAGGCCTCGTTCAGAACATGAGTTGATGCTATAAAGAAGGCATCCAAGAGAGGCAGAGAAAAGGGCTTCTTGAGTTTCAGAGAATTTATGTTCAGTGTTCTCACTTAATCCTTTCAACCTGACGAAGAGAAATGACTTGTATATGTGTGTATATATATATATATACTCTTAAGGAGAAAAAACATAGAACAATAGGTAAAGTAAAATTTTATTTGTATTAGTCTAGATAATCTAGGCTATTCTTCAGTAACAGCAAATTTTAGAAACTTAACATGACCAAGATTTATTTCTTGCTCACATCATAGTCCATTGTGGATCAGTTGGCTCTGGTGTGGCTTTCTTCCAAGTGGGGACCTGGAACCCATGTTGCCTTCATTTTATAATCCCACAATCTCAGAATCCTTTACTGTTAGCCATGGGATGAATCAGAGACACCAAAGAGAAGGCATTCTCAGTCATAACTCTTGGACCAGAAGAGACATGTGACTTACGTTCACATTCCCATTCACCACAACTCAGGTACATGTTCCCAACCTCATTGCAAGGAAAGCTGGGAAATAGTTTCTTGCTACATGCCTAGGATTAAGTCATGATGTGGTGAATATATATTTTGACATGATTTTTGCTACATCACTTATCTGAGAAGGAAAATAAACTTCCTGTGTATGTGTGAATATATATTCATATAAATACAAAGAAAAAAGTCTGGAAGTATATGCAGTGGGATTGACAAGGTAAGATAAGATAGAACTAAAGGGGACTTTTAGGATTCAATCCTTTTTTTGTATTACATTAAAATTATTTCTCGAATGGTGTATTTATAAATCACTGTATTATTAAATAAAAACCTCCTCTCGCAGTACACATAATAATAGACTCCAAAATTCACTATGTCGCCCCACAGACTCTGCTTTTCAGGAGGGTTTTCCTCCAGTCTGCTGGGGGCTGATGTTGGTGACTTGGATTATTTAGTGATTTCCTGTTGGGAGGGCTCACTTTTCTCACACTTAACAAAGGGGCACAGAGGTGCCAAGAAGGATGTTTGGATCAGTATCAACCCTTTTTTCTTCTAGCCCAGAGACCTAAAGCTCAGAGGGAGAGCCACTTAAGCTGCAGTTGGAACCAGACACTGAGTGAGGTTGAGAATCTGTCTCTCTCACTTTGCTCTCTTCTGCACTGGCTTCACTCTCTGGGAGGCTCCTATTTATGGTGGCAAAGTGGACCAAGGTCTCCGCTTAGGTAACGGTGGCCGAGCATCCCCAGTGGCAAGTGTCTTTGCAAAAGTTTCACCCAGAAACTCTTGTCCTGAGTCTCTTTGGCCTGTCTTGGGCCATGTGCGATCATCATGACTCTGACTGGCTGGGTCTAAGTCATGGAGGTAGGGAGAACAGGGAGTCAGGCATAGGACCCAATCACAGGACTTAGCAAGTGGGGGAAGGGTGGTTCCCCAAATTACATTTACCAATTGAAGAGAGGACTATTTATCTCACTGTGACAGGACAGAGAGGAAGACAGTTCCTGCCAGGAAGACCTTTCAGAACTTGTGGCATAATCAACAGAAGGCAGCCATGTGCTTATGTGGGACCAGCCTTCTAAGGTGGGGTTTCAGAGAAGGTGGGGGTCCCTCAGTGTACATGTTGAGGTAGGTTAGGAGTGGCTCAGAAGGCTGGGGAATTGGGCTGGGATGGTGATATCTGTGTGGAATCTAGTTTAGGCTCCTTAGATGGAAACACGGCCTTGGCCTGAGTCATTTTTTGCACTTGCAGTTCAGGAAGGTGGAGGAGGGCCCAGCAGGAGCCAGGATCTGCAAATCAAGCCTCCATCCAGTGAACCATGCCCTCGCGACATTTTGACGAGAAAGCATGGCGCTGTGGTCATGCTGGCCTCCGGGTCACTATGGGGCTATGGATTTGCCAATCCCTGCTGTCTGCTTTACCATGGCATATGTTGATCCATGCTGGCTGATAATGCTCCCCAGCGGGTCTCCAAGATACCTATAGAGGCTGTTCTTCTTCTGAGCCCTCCCAGTAGCATGCCTCCTGTCCCCTTTGCTACTTGTTTCACAGTGCAGGGACTCTGGAATGTCACCCAAGACCCAGATTTGCTCTCTGGACACATGGAGATCTTCTCATAGAGATCTGAGACCACCTTGACCTCCAGGCTTTCTGTAGATGGATGGCAGAGATGGAACGACTCTTAATTTTCAGTGACTCTCATCTCCTCCCAATGAGAAGGTAAGAGGATCTATCAGATACTGTGATCCTGATTGGTCAAAACCCAATGGATGGTCTCTGGGCAGGACTCAAGGAGTGCCAGAGAGGAGCATCAACTTTATGAAGGTCACATGGCGATTTAGTTCATTTGTTATCTTTGGCAGACTGAGGTGACCATGACCCAGAACTTGGTTCTGTCTTCTATTACTCCACCTCCTTGATGACTTTCTCTGAGTGAAGTGGGAGGGCAAAATCCAGATAAGTACAGGAAGGCAAGAAGAGCATGGGGTTGGGTGCTGTGCCCAATTTTTAGGTTAAAGTTTTCACTTCATGTTTCTCTATCATTTATAAAGTTAGAATGCCTGAGCCACAGGCCCCTTAGGCTTCTCCTGTTGTTATTTGTCTTTATATATTTTCCTGGAGAGCTGCCAGGTGGAATTATAGAGATTGGTGTCCCAGGTCTCAAGTCATGCCCTAGCCAGAGAGCTAAAGGAGACAGGAAGGAGGTAGTCATCATGTAGACATTTTATTTTATAAAACTGCAGGGGACACTTCTCAGGCTCCTTTGAGGCAATTTTAGTTCAGTCCATGAAGGGATGTTTATCATCCAGAGCTATCCCTGCATGAAATAGGCTATCTTGTGAGGTAGTGAGAACCCTGTCAATGAAAATGGTCAAACAGAGGCCAAAGGACCAGCAGACAGGGAAACTGTGGATGAGGTTCCTGAACAACACCAAGCTATAAGGACTCATGGGATTCCACAAGTTTATGACTCAGTGGAATGAAATCCTCAAAGACTCTATATCTGTTGGGCTTCATTGCTGTCCTTTCTCTGGTTCTGGTCTGGCTTGACAGCCTGGCTGACATCCAGAAAGTGCAGGCACCGGGCCAGGCCAGGCAGTGCCTTAGAGTCTGTGAACCTGCTGGACTTCCTCTCAGGTCCTCATCAACAGCTGCTTGAATTCATCCCCAGGACTATGAGCATTCCTGTGCTCTTCTGAACTGAGAGCACTATGACACTTCCCCCACCGCCCACTCCCCCAAATCCTCAGAGCTATTGATTTTGTTTTCACCCTCAGAGGAGACACTTGTAAGAGAGAGAAGCTTTGCTGTTGTCCTGAGGGCCCTGCAGGGAGCATGCTTGAAAGTAGTAAAGCTGGAGAAAGGAATTTTCATCTATTTTCTGTTATCTGCCCCATTGGAGTGAACTGGGCAGGGAGAGCAGGAGAGTGAGTGAGGGGGAGGCAGGCAGGTGCTGGGCTTGTCTAGTGCCTGAATATCTTATCCCCAATCTAGGGTGAAGACAGAATGGACAAAGACATGAGACCACGAGACAAGAGAGTGTGTGGAACTGAGTCCCCTGCATCTGTACCTGGGCTGTATGAACAGGATCCCTAAATGTCTGAGCTTCAAGAGACAACCCAAAGTATCTGTCTCTCCTCTCATTGCATAGGTGAAGAAATTGAGACTTGAAGAAATACACAGGTGAGGAAACTGAGACTTGAAGAAGAAATACAATGTTCATTAAATCAGCATTAAAGGCAGGCTGAGGTCACCTGGCCCACTCTGTGTTGTTTCCCTTAAGCCAACTTGGAAGACAGCTTCCCTTAGAGCCCATGGCTCCAGGTTATATAATGCTAAAGACAACTCACCTTGCATAGCACTTTTCAAAATTACTTTTCGAAGTGCTTTCTCAAACTCGATCTCATCTCATCCCCACCCCAGCCCTCTGAGTAAGTGAGGGCTCCTACAGCAGAGCTGGAAGGACTCTGGGCAAGGCTGTGCCAACTTCCCTCCAGCCCCTCATGGCTCTGGTACAGTGTCTGGCACAGTTGATGCCTTTTCCTGAAGGCAACACAGCCCATTGTCCCCTCTCCTGGGCTCCATTCACCATCTGTGGTTCTCCTGAGCCTAATGCATCTGTCCTCCCAGGTGTGTATTCAAGACCTTGTGAAAGTCACCCTGGACACAGGGATATTGATCCCACACTCCAGGAAAGTGACTCCCTGGTTTTCCTGGGCACCTGTTCCATCACCGCTCCCACACTCACTGTCCGGAAATTCTTTGTTGCTGCCCAAATGCCATAGGTTGAAAGCATTTCCTCCTTCTTACCACTCAGATGCGCAGCAGCACCCGGGGGCCAAAGGAGAGTGCGAGAGAAACCCCAAACCTGGCTGTGGGTCTCATGACCTGTGCCCAAGTGTCCTTCCTTAAGGACACCCATGTTTGTTCCCACTTAGAGTGCTTTCCTGCCCACCATTTTACTTGGTCTTTATTGCTATAGAGAATGTGGAGCTGGAATTCCTAAAGTGGAGAGGACAACTTAGGAAGGAGCTGATGCTTGCAGAGGTTAAGGGACGAAGCCAAAGTGACAAAGTCAGTGAGGAGCAGGGATGGGTCCTGGTCGTTTAACTCCCATCTGGTGGTGCTTGCTCTAGAGACTCTCTTTTCTCACTTTCTTCTGCAATCTTTCTATTTCTCAGGGTCTTTACAGTTCTATACTTTCATGGTTGCCTTTAGTTTCTACTCATGTCCTGGTTCCTCCCCTTTTTGAGTCCAAAATTCCTGAGTAATATTGACACACCAGTCCATCTCAGTCACAATGTAGACACACACACACCCCTCACTCACAGATGCACATTCCCCCCATACACACTCCCCACACTACACACATATGTACACCATACATCACCCCCCCACACCCACACACCACAGTACATACATACGCTATGCACACCATACACACACACACACACACACACACACACACAAGCGAGCGCACACACACCATTAAGACTGAACACATGAGACGTAAATAACATTGTGAGAAAGAGAAAGACCCAGAGTAGAGGAGCAAAGAGAAATGAAGAGCAGAGAGAGGTGGGTCAGAGGAGATGAAAGGAGGAGCGGTGATAGTGAGGGAAGAGAGAAGGAAGATCAGAGCTTTGGAGTCAAAAGCCTGGGAATCTGAATCTAGCTTCACCAGCTACTGGCTGAACCACTTAGGGAAGTCACTTAACCTCGCAGCCTTATTTTTCCATCTGTAAAATGGGCATTGCTTATTTAATTACTAGTCATTAAGTATTGCTGTCTAGGTTCCTGGGATACATCAATGAGCAGAATAGTTTTTAAAAAATCATGTCTTCTTGTGTGTGGATGGAGATGAAAAACAAAATAAATATAATAAGCAAAGGGTTTAGCCTGTTTGTAGATAAATGCTTAGGGTGTTAGTCTGGGTCCTCTGAGAAGCAAACACCAAGTCAGGTCAACATGCGAGGAATTCCTTACAGGAAATGCGTGTGTGAGGGAAAGAAGGAAGGCTGCCAGAGAAGGCTTGGAGGAGCCATAGACCACCATGCAAGTCTGATCCTCAGTGAAGAGAGAGAGAAGGTTGGGTGGAGGCATCCTGGTTTGGCAAGGCTATCAAGGAGTCCTGAAGCCAAAGCTAGACATCAGGAGTCTTTGATGTATTCAGTCACTGGCTGGGAACAGTCTACAGAAAGTGTGGTCTCAGCTCTAATCCGGAGATGGATTTCAGAGTAGCTGAGGCCCTTGGCAACCAATGCTGCCTGGAGATGGAGGTTTGCAGTGTGTGTTCTCATATCTGCTGCATATGAGAAGTTAATATTTTAAATCATGGAGCAGGGTAAGGAAGATGGGGAGTGCTGGAATGTGGAGAGATTACAGTGTTCATGGGGTGGTTAGGGCAGGCCTCACTGAGGTGATAGTCGAGCAAAGATCTGGAGGAAGTGAGGGAGCATCTTTCAGATGTCATCGCCATCATTGTGTTGACATCATCACAGTGTTGGTCTTGCTTGGGAAAGCACTTTGTAAATGGTATAGACTAAGCTGAGAGAGAAGAAACAAACAACAGCCACTTTTCCTGGCATCTTGGACTGACATGTCTCCAGAGAAAAGATGTTGGCCTCTATCCCAGATCATACTGTACCCCTCTGTGGGGGAGGAGAAGCCTAGAGACCCCACTCCCATTTTATTTGGAAAAAAAGGAATTCTTTTTCCAGGACATGCCACTCTCAGGTGTCTAGACCTCTCTGAAGGGCCAAAACAAGTATCCCCTAAGATCCCCAGAGTATGGAGTCTTATTTTCAGCCTAACAATGGGAACTAAAACAAAATCCTCTTTTCTTAGACAACTAGATAAATATGTTATTATCCCTGACAATTGGAGTTAACAATAGCTCCTGATAAGAGATCATTGTTATCTCTGTGGCATCCTGGACAACTGCTTGCTTGAGAGTGGAAGTGATAGTTTGTGGGCACATGACTAATAGTTCCAGAGCCAGATGTAGAGTCCAGGTCTCCTGATTCCCAAGTCAGGCCTCCTTCCTACTTCTTTTAAAGCCCATAGATGCATGCTGCCCTCAAGCCCAGTGTCCATCTGTCCATCATGGATCAACAAGCTTGCCAACTCTCTCTGAAGATGTGCACGGGTGCATGCTGGGTCTGGCCAGTGAAGAACTCTGAGAGTTCACACCTCGGTCCCCAAATCCTCAATGTGCAGCAGGGGTAATGCCCACTAGTACATCCTAAGTTAAAGCTAGTCCCATGTCCTCTCTGCATACGCCACACTTACTGTTGTTTTCCTTCCTTCCCCCTTCTGTTAATAGATTAGAACTCACCTCACGTTCATTGTTTTAGGAAGTTCAGCGGTAGATGATGTGATTTTATATAGCAGCAGGCGAATTTTTAATAACTAACCTGTATTGCTTACTCTATGACACGCTCTAAGGACTCTAGATATATTAACTCATGAAATTCTTGTAATTGTCTGTCACCATTTGTAATGAGGAAACCAAAGCATGGTGAGATTGAAACTTTCCCAAGGCCATAGGGGTGATGCATGGTTGAGCCAGGTTTTCAATCCAAGCTCTCTGAGTCTGGAGTCTGCACACTTATCTACTTGACAATGATTCAGTTCAGTTTTTATTTCAGTATGTGTTAGAAAACAATAAAGACAATTTATTTGGGAGTTATGGATTTGCTGTTGCATCTGGGATAAGACAAGGACATTTTTCAAAAGGAGAAGAGCTTTAAAAAAGTTTAAAGCAGGTGCTACATTTTCCAGATGAAGAAACTGAGGCCCTGAGAGCTGAAATCACTCCCCCGTATGCTGCTGTGGGCTAGAGGCTGAGCTGGAGCTGGAATCAGGTTCTCTGGATGTCAGTTCCACATCCATTGCTTTTCTCTTGAATGTTCATTTACATGGACTTGATGGAAGTTAAGTCTTTTATAATTTAAATTGTTTAAATTCTACCCAAATAGTTTAAGTTTGGAGCCAGCCAGCCATACACTGAGATTAATTTTCAAGAGAAAATTTAAAATCAATTTCCCAAAGCTTTTGGTTAATAACACAGTTCAGAATATGATGGGATTCCACTGAAACCACCATGAAAATGTCTCAGTCCCAACACAGTTGATTTCTAAAGCACTGAGATAAGTTACCTTTAAGTGTTACCAGCCTTTTCTCCTCCCACCCATCACCTCTTCTTTCTAAGGCTCTTCTCCCCAAAGGGGCTGTTTCAATTTGCGCCTGTCCTTCCTTCCTTCCCCCACAAAGTGACACTCACACTCTGAAACATAGACTACCAGCCTGCCACTTATAGCTCATTTTGTCCTCAAGTCATCTCCTTTCCCCAGAACCTTCCATTTCAGGTCCACATCAGGACTCTGGTATTCCTGTAGCTTCATCCTATGCCCCAAATGGCACAGAACTGGGACTAATAATATCTTAGTTATTTTATGTATATTTTTGGTGCTTTGTGCTCTGGAATTGCTTTCTGAATAGTGATGTACTTTCCCTTTGTTGTGCCTCAGTTTCCTTGTCTCTAAAATGATGTTTGGATTGGCTGGTCACTAATAGCCTATTAATGACCCAATAGTGTTAACATTGAAATATTGTCTACTCTCCTTGCCTCTCATTTTATTTCCTCTCCTCCCCAGACCCAGCTGTCACAAGCATGCAGAGCAATTTTCCATTCCCCAGGAAGTCCTCAAATAAAGCCTATTTTTTAATTGGTGTGGGAGGAGCTGCACATTATTCTTTTTCCAAATAATAATAGGAGAAGAAAAAGAACTGAAAAAGAAAAACAAGCAAATAAAAAAATGGAACAAATCAAAACAGGAAAATCTATCCTTGCAGGAGTAGGTAGGGAGAAGGGTCAGTACCCACCACATTCTGAGGAACCTTCAGCCCCTGCTTTGTGTTTCTACTTATTAGAATTTTACAACAAATAAATGAAGAAGAGAAGCTGGATGGTGCTGACAGGTGGGGCTCTGGCGGGAAGTCACTCCTGCCCAACAAAGGCTCTGTCTAAAAATACCCAGCCAGGACCTCACTGTTTCCATAAACAGATGGACACCATGGGCCTGGTGGAGAGGCAGAGGCAGTGGGAGGAAATTGTATCTGACAGTGATAACAATCTGGCATCTCTGAGAGCTTCACAT